AAGAAAGAAATCTCACGAACTGAATCATATTACTCGGACAACCAATTGTAGCGAGCTTGTCAATCATAATATTGATATCAACGTTATCAAAGGCAGACTTGACGTCCAAGAATACCGCAATAGTCTCACGGTTCCTCGTCAGATCATAGTCCGCCTGTAGAAACAGATTGCTCAGATTATCATAACATGATCGACCCTTGCGAAAACCACTCTAAGAGCTCGGAAGGACATCCTGTTCCTCTACCCACCATTGGAGTCGGTTTTTCACAAGTGTTTCAAAGAGCTTGCATAGACAAGAAGAGAGTGCAATAGGACGAACGTCAGAACCGTTAGGTTTAAGAATGAAGTGAACGTATTGCTCATTCCATTCTGCGGGATACTCTGATGAAACGTACATCTCATTAAAAATGTCCAACAATATCAATTTGTATTGAGGGGAGAGCTTCTTCAGTACTTCATATTCAATACCGTCAATGCCTGGGGAAGATTTAGTTTTGCGAGAGCTAAGAGCAAGATTAAACTCAGCAAAGTTAAATATCGAGCTCAAGAGCTCATTCTCCTGACAAACCGGGAGATAGCTTGGATCATTGGGACACCAGGGAGGACTAAGTGTGTCAAGGGCAACAGGAATTTTGTCTTCAAATTGAAGATGGCTCTGTTTGTTGAAGGCGTCATTATTGACCCAGGCGTTATTCAGTATTTTACAGGTATTCCAGGCGTAGGTGGAATATCTTCTCATGTCAATAGTTGCTGCATAGTCTCTGAAATTACCTGTTCTTTTTTGTTTAAATAATTTCCTCGCCTGTGCCACAGACTTATTGTACAAATCACGATCAGCCTCGCGCCTAGTAAACGTCCACTTCTTATAAGCAGCTCTCCTCAATCGTTTGATTCTATCACAGTCTGAGTCCCACCAAGCGACAGGGTTTCTGTGTTTCTCAGGGGGAACCTTCCTCCTATGAGGTGTGTGTTTCCGAATCTTATCCGAGAGATGGTCAATGAAAAATTTATATTTTCCAGAGGGACAGAGAGTATCGTATTCGGGTTGTAAGAATTCTGGGAATGTTTCATTTAATTCTCTAGAGAGCTCGTCCCAATTTGTTCTAACAGATGTTAGCTTGAACGTTTCTTTGTGGTAAATACGTCTTTCTACAGTGGCTTTAATATATACCGGGAAATGGTCTGATCCCCAGGTCTCATCCCCTACACGGATATGAATTTTATCTGCGAGAGAAGAGGTCGTAAGAACTAAATCTATATTCGATTGACTATTTTCATCCTGGCGAGTGATGGTATCGTCATTATGTAAAATTAAATCGTGATCTCTAATGGAATTGAACAAGCGAAACCCATCAGTTTTATTACCGGGACAGTTCCACGATATATGGTGAGCATTTAGATCACTTACAATTAGTGTATTATTCGCAGTATTTGACAGAGATGCAATTTGATTCCACTCGTGCTGAGAGAGAATTGGATTGGGTGGTTTGTATAAGGCAAAGAGGTTAAATGAAGGATTTGTGTTGGTAATAGTCACCCCCACAAATTCTAGAGAAGGGACATCTATAACACTATTATTTATCCTTTTGTAAGCAATGTTATTTCTAATCGCAACAACTATTCCTCCCCCAGGCGAGTGGACTCTATCCTCCCTGATAACTTTGAAACCGGGGAATCTAATAGGTTTATTGTTGCTAGGGTCTAGAAAAGTTTCTGTACATATTATAATATCTAAGTCTTTAGAAATAGCAAGTAGTTCCTGATATCGGAGGTAAAAACTACGGCAGTTCCAATGGAATATCAAAAGTTCTTGGGCTTTGCGTTGATTCGAGGGATTGAGTGATTGGGATTGTTGGGATATAATAGGATCCATTGGAACAGAAGAAAAGAAGAGAAAAAAGAAAGGAAGAGAAGAAAAAAAAAACTAATAAGTGGACGCTATTTTAACCCGGAGGTCCGGACAGCGTAGGACTGTCCTTGTTAGAGAGACCTCCCTCATCCACATTAGGTGGAGCAGGGGGGGGGCATTGGATCGATACCAGTATGACTGGGTGAAGAAGTTCCTTCGAAGAGAGGAATGGGAGGGATGTCACATGGGGAAAGAGAGGAGTGTGTATCCATTGGAATATCATCAGGTGTGGGAGTCATTACAGAGGAAGGAACAGAAGTGGTGATAGGAGATCCTGATTTGGTTTCGAAACCACCATCTAATGAAGACAACGATTCTTCATCGGATTTTGGGGGGGGGGGACTGTTTATCACCAACGTAGCCTTTAATAATCACATCGAGTTTCTTACAGATACGGGTGCTTCTATTTTTTAGACTTGCTAAGGGGAGCACAGAGTGTACATTCTTAAGCAAGGAAACCAAGCCATCAAGATCATTCGTATGCAAAAGTGTAATTTCCTTAATATCAGCGACTCCGCGAGTGTCATCAAAAAACTTCTGAAGTTGAGTCAAATTGAGAGGATATTTATTTTCGGAGAACGTAAAAAAATTTTTTACCTCGCTCCAATTTATTTCTGCTGGTAAGGATGATGTCGAATTGGCTTTAGCTTCTTCTTCTGGGGCTTCTCAACTCCAGTAGAGCTGATGGATGGGGACTCGCTGTTGACTGAGCAGGTGTCAGAAAGCTCCTCTGACGCTGGGTCCTTGGGTTGATCCTGATGAGCCTCTCCAGTGGATGTTGTTGTAGATGTAGACGTAGAGAGAGGTCTTTTCTTATGTTCAGACTCCTTGTGAGATGGTTGGGAGAAGAGGGGGTAGAAACCATCTTCACCCTTCCTCTGGATCTGGACTTTTGGTGGTGGAATCTGAGCAACTTTGGTGGCAGGGAGCGGGGGGAATGCCGTTGAGGGACCGGAGTGAGCAGTATTTATGATTGCCTCATCCACATTCACCACAGAGAGGGATAGAGCTGTGAAATCGGCTCTGCCTGGACAATTTTTGGCAATGTGACCTTCTAGTTTGCACTCATAACAAATGACCTTGTCTGATGAAAAGAAAACCCAATGTTGTTTTTCTCTGTAGTTTACTTGAATTTTGGGTGGTAGTTTGTTTACATCCTCTGGAGAGATATAAACTTGCCTTTTGAGACTCATAACATGAGCTAATTCCTTATCCTCAAACCCAGCACGAAGAGTTGTAATGGGCGATCTGGATTTTACATTATATTTGTCAAATTGCTCTTCCAAAAGCCCATCAGATATGTATGGCTGACATGAGATTATGACTCGTTTATTCCTGGTGACGTAAGACCGAATGGGAATACTCACGTGAGCTACTGTTACTGACTTCTTGTTATCAATAAGATCATCAACGGTGGATTTGCTGTCTAAGTACACACAGATACGATTGTTCGCTATGCGACCAGATCTGCGTATCTTGGAGGGTGGCACAAGTTTCTTCAAGGCTACTGTGTATTCTTCAAGTGATGCATCGACCAAAACGTCGATAATTATGGCGTGTTCTTCTAGGAATTCTTGACTTGATTGAGTTGCTTTTGCGTAGTTAACATTTTGGGACTGAGAAGGGCCTTGAGACGACATTTTCTGCTGGTAGTAGAATCCCTGATCTCAGAGATCCACTACAGTGGACAATGCCCACTTTCCAACAGATAGAATGCACTTTTTACGGTTTCTATCGTTAAATTTTATTCACAATTTCAATTTCACTCGATAGAATAACACAGTCTATACAGACACCGTAGGTAAACACGTTGAATCGCGGAGCGATAGGTAAACACGTCTGGACTGTACGGCTGTCGGCGAGCGAATCCCTAAATAAAGATTTGAATGTAATTTCGGAAAGTAATTTAGGAGTTTCGGATGAGACGACCTTATCTGGTCATGTTTTCCCCTAACTTAGGTTTTCCTCAAACCATAACAAATGCGATCCAGAAGGTTAGAGAGAGTATTGATGGGGGGGGGGAGGCACAAATTGTCAAATTGGGGAGGAATATTCGAGTGAAAAAAAATTTATTATGCCGAAACCATTCGGAAGCATACCATCAATTTATTGATGGTGATTAAAACATCACTCATTTACATGCTCACCATCATGTGCTCGCTTCCCCCTGCTGGGTAAATATTACCAATTTTTTTAAAGATCGTTTTATTGTGCAATCGTCTTGTAGCGGTGTGCCAAAGGATTTATTATTTCGTCTTTCCTCTCTCCATTGCGGTGACTGACAGGCCGCCATTTCCCGTGGCAATTATACATTATTCATGTCTCCTCTATTACAATCATTCCGCAATATTAATCAGCATTTTTTTACTTGTTTTTCTCAATTTAGTGTTCCAGAATGATGGGGCATCGAGTTGAAATTTCGAGTTGGCGTGCGTTGGATAGTGACAGACATCACGTCAATTATTTTTATCGTTAATTTATTCAACAAATTACTGGCAAAACTCGATGAGACTTCATTCCCTTATTTTTGAGTTTAATATAAATTAATATAGCTTCCTTTGTTGGCTAGCACATTGTCAACAAGGTGAGGGGTAAGGGACAAAATTTCGTTCTTAAAGCCCATGTATAAGCAGAAATTCGAATGATTAATTGAAAACGAATGAAACGATAAAACTACTCAGAGTTTTTTTTACAATTTTCCTTTTACCATTTTTGATTATTATATTACATATTCACTTTGCTAGCACATTGTCGTTTTGTGGCGAAAATTACTGAGGAGACCCCTTAAGTAAACTTTGCAAGATATCTATTTTTTTTTTAATTTCTACAGATCCACTTATCTCAACCACGGATGCAAGGATTGAGATACAGATTCTTTTCAGATTTTTTGGAGATCATGACAGAAAAGGTGGCTGAATTGGCGACTCATTAAAGTGCTCATAAAATCCATGGAACCCTCAATTCAGATGATATTTACAAAGTAATCTCTCAGTTCATTATGAATCACTCTACCACGGCTATCTTTTTCCACCACTGCAGTTACTAACTTGATTCTCAACGAAGATTGACGTTGTTACTCAAATAGCCTTACCCCTTCAATTAAAACCAGCTGATGCGTTCCAACCTGCAACCTGTTCAGATTCTCTACTTGAGACCGCCATAAATGTATCATTCTTGTTAAACGTTGGCTTTTCATTTCTGGTGATACATTATCTTCATATCTCCGATGAGCTGTAGTTTTCTAATACAAAGTAATAATTTCAAATAATTTGATTTCGTTTTTTTCCTCTCATGTTTCCTCTCAAGTTTTAACATGACACTCTAATTGATTCTTTATGAAATTTTAATGTCTGAAAATGAAACGAATAACAATATGTTACCTCTCGCATGCTATACTGGAACAAAAAAGCTTGATGAAATTTAACTTGGTCTATCAACGTCATTGTATCTTCAAATTCCTCATGAGTTTCATTGCAGAATCCAGCAATAAAGTCACTCGATAGTTTTATTTGAGGTATTATACTACGAATATGTTCAACTAATTCCAGATAAGATTCACGAGTGTATCCTCTCCTCATTCTCTCCAGGACTGCAGAATTTCCACTCTGTGCTGGTAAATGAATTTGTTTACAAATGTTTGGTCTTTCAGATATTAAATGGAGAACTTCGTCTGGAAAATCTTTTGGATGTGGAGATGTAAATCTGAAAAATTGAATCGGTTTTTAAGCAAGGCAAAGTGAATCGGTTTTTAAGCAAGATTTACTCTCATAGAAAATTCATTCACTGATAACTGCATCAGATACTAAGAATTTACCTAATTCGCATTTCGGGATTGACCAGTGAAACTTTATCCAGCAGATCACTAAATCTGAGTCCACCTAATTTATTCTTGTAAACCGTTCTGAATCCTTTGGCAAGATGAGTAGGGTTTTTTTCACCAAAGTAATAATGACATTGTGATAAATCTCGGTAACTGTTGACGTTTTGACCCAATAGAGTGATTTCCTTTATTCCTTGCTCAGATAATTGTTGTACTTCATTCAAAATACTTTCTAGTGGCCTCGATCTTTCTCTTCCTCGTACGAAAGGAACGATGCAATAGGTGCACATGTTGTCACATCCTCTCATGATTGATCTTTACAACAACAAAAGAAACAAAATCGTCAGAACTGACAAGACATTTCACGCACAATGAGTAAATTAGGCGAAAAAACTCAATGGGCAAGGGAAGAATCACAACGAGAAAATCTTAAGAAAAGCCTGAAAATCCCATAATTTCGTTATGAATTGCAGTACAAAGAAATTCCGAATTTTCATATCAACTTAGCAAAGTAAACCCGGAATCCTGACGTATATTCAGGTAAGTACAATAGTTAAGTGGAGACTATAAGTTTTAAAAGTCGTTAGCTAAAAACAAATAATTAGTGCAAAAAGATTAATCCTTTATTGTTCGTTTGCCCTGCAGACCCTTAAAATTTTAAAAATAGTCCAGGGCTTCCCATTTTTAAGCTACAGAAATTGGTTGTTCAAATTTTTTTTAAAAATATGTCCAATAACAATTACGAATTTGTTTTTTGAAATTTGACTCCTACACAGCTATTTTCGCTTTAATATAAAAATTTTAAAAATCGGCAGCAAAATTATCCTTAAAATAAATGGTGCAATATTTTATGAAAAAATTAGGAAATTAGTTGTGTAGGACTTGAATTTGAAAAAACTAATTTGTAATTGTTATTGCGCATTTTTTCCAAAATTTTGAAGAAAAAAACTATAACTCAAAATTGTGAGGCCCTGGACTATTTTGAACATTTTAAGCGTCTGCGGGGCGAACGAACAATAAACATTCTTTTTGCACCAATTATTCGTTTTTAGACACATCAAGTATCAGGTAGAGATACGTGCCAAGGACGTATGTGTGTACTGCCAGCTACCGCTATACTTATTCCCAAGCGCCTTCCCCCTCTCCCCATTCCCAACAATCACAGATAGAGGTGCGCCAGATTTTTTACCAAAACAAGTCATTTGCTTCGTTTGTTTTGGTTCTCGATTCTCGATTATTTTCTCGATATCTCGATGTTTACATCGAGAATCGATATCTCGCTATCGATGAGGAGAGGAAAGTGGAAAATGGCAGCCTGTCGTTATGATTTATTGTGATATTACTAGCGCCGCCGCGGCCGCGACGTTGATGCCCTTTCATTATGCTTTTTCTCAATCTTTCCTTGTGTTTCTTTAAAAAATTAATGATTCATCATAGTCTTATTAAACTGAGTATTAAGATTAATGGACACAATACTTATCGGGTCATCACCTGTTTGATTTCAATATTTCAATGAGTGATTCAATGATTCTTAATTTTTGTGCTCACTGAATGAAGTTCTAACTATAATTATAATAAAAATTCTATTCAGAGTGCGAAGCAATAATTATTGAAGTTCTCACAACCCAGAATTGTTTAGTGTTCGCCACCCCTTTTATTCTCCTTTACACCTTTACCAAAGCATTTAATTATTTTCGCTGGAAAAATTATATGACAAATTCTGATGCTCCTTCGCTAATTCGGAGTATTTTCTCGTCATTCATGATCTTTTTCACAATTTTATTCGACCATGCCATGAACTTGAAACTTTGATGGATCATCTGAATTTTTGTCAAATCCTCCATGAAGCCCCGAAATTCTTGTGAATTTTGCTTGAAAAACTTGGAAATTTTTGTGAAATTATATTCTCCGATTTTTCAAATTATGTTTTTCTTTCCCATTTGAATCAATCAGAGTGCAATAGTTGGTGTCACGTGACTCCTTCACATCAATTTCATTTGGAAAATTCCACCTTTTCCTATCAATTGTTCAGCCATGGTTTATTCAAAAATTCTCTAATATTTGAGAGATACCGAAAATATTCTCTAATTTTCGAAAGACTCGTGGATTTTTTCGGGTTTTTTCAGACAATCTCATAATTGTTGTAAATTCTCTGGAAAACTTCCGAATCATTCTACATTCAGAAAAAACCGACAATTCTCTGATTTTTTAGGGAACCTGTAAACTTCCTTAAAGTTCTTATAATTCATCCCTTATTCATCCTATTAAAGGTGGATTTTAGAAAAAATTTGAAACACATCCTCTATTATTTCCAAAAATCTTCTCTTAATAAGCATGCCTTAGAAATAGGATCTACTCTAATATTTTCATATTCCTATCGGTCTTAACAGTTTCGGCTTTGCATTATTATTTCAGTCAGGCTGAAAGGCTCCTTTTTCATATTCGCTAGCGCCGATGCCCTTTCATTATGTCTTTTTTTATTTTTCCTTGTGTCTCTTTCAACAATTAATGATTCATTATCGTCTTATTATACTGAGTGTTAAGGTTAATGAAAATAATGTTTGTCGTTTGATTGCCTGTTTAATGTCAATATTTCAATAAGTGATTCACTAATTTTGAATTTCTGTGCTCTATGAATGACGTTCTAACTATAATTATAATCAAAATTCGATTCAGAGTACAAAACAATAATTAGTAAATTTCTCTCAACTCAGCATTTTTTAATCTTCGCCGCCCCCTTTATTCCCTTTCACAACTTGACAATAGCATTCAATTATTGTTCTGGCAAAAATTATAAGACCGATTCTGATACTCTTTGGCTAATTCGAAGTATCTACTCATTCATGATCTTTTTTTTTTTTTTACGGCCTCGGAGTCCCTTTTTGAGTCGCATTCGGCACTCTATCCAACCCTATGCATGCGGCTGTGGATTCTACACTGTACCGCATTCGCACTCCTATGGAACATAGAAGTAGCATGGGGAAACCACAGAAAACCCATGCCGCTACAGGCGGTTCCTCTATTAGCAACCTCCCGCTCGCCGGGGCCTTCCGTTGAAAAATTCGGTTCCACGGAGAATCGAACTCACAACCTTTCGCACACTAGACTTGCGTCTAATCCACTCAGCCACCGACGTCGGTATTCATGATCTTTGTCACAATTTAATTAGGTGCTATATTAGTTGAAACTTGAATCATTAATCATCTGAAATTTTTTCAAATTCCCCCAAAAATTCCGATATTCTTGTGAATTAACAAAAAAATGTTTGTGAAATTGTTGAGAAAATCCGAGGAAATTTTTGAATTTTTAAAAATTATGTTCCTTCTCATTTCCATCAATCAGAGTGCAGTTGTTGGAAGCTCGGGACTCCTTCACATCAGTTTTATTTGGAAAATTCCACATTTTCCTACCAATTGTTCTCTCATTGTTTATTCAAAAATTCTTTAATATTTGAGAGATACCCAAAATTTCCTCCAATTTTCGAAGAATTCAGTTTTCTCGAATTTTTTCAGAACACCTCATAATTGTTTTAAATTCTCCGGATAACTGCCGAATCATCTTACATCCGGAAAAAACTGGCTCCCTCTGAATATTGTCATTTCATGTTTCCAGCGCCAAATTGAAAATAAAAACTTGAAATGACCGTGTGACTTCTGCTCCAACCTTTTTCGTGAATCTGACATTCATGTTAATGATTCAGAGGATATGACAAATATCATCATTCTTGTTCTCTGCAATTTTTTAATTTGGATATTATTATTATCATTTTTTGAAGCGAAAAAATTGATCATGGTTTTCATTGTGTCGCATTCAAATTCTATAATCTCATAATTCTAGCTATTGATTCTAATCAACTTTAAAAAAAACCTTACTAAACGCAACATTAGTAAAGTTGAATAATTCTATTTTCTATCTATTAACTATCCAGTAATTTTAGGTACAGAATATTCATATATTGAATGAGAATTTAAGGAACTTGAGAGTTTTTATCTCCATGCTGTTAAAAAATGTTGAATCGCAGTTAATTTCCAGTGAACTTTTACATTTCAAGACTTGTACCTCTCTAACTCTTAAAATTTACTATTAAACTGTCCTTAAAATTTTAATCTTTTTTTTCAACAGTATAACTGCTATGTACTCATAATTATGAGCGAATATTTAAAAACTATGTAAAAAAAAATGAAAAGTCGACTTTTTGAAGTAGACTAATGAAAAAATTGCGATTTTCGGAGACCATGAATGTGTTTTTATAAATGATTCCATCATAATCAATTTTTCACTCAAAGAATAATTTTTCCTGAATTGTAACGAATTTTTCTGCTCCAAAAATCACACCAAAAATCAATTTTATGTGAAAAAATTATATTTTTCGGAAATTTGAGACATTCTATTATTAATTCCTAAGAGAATGTTGGTAAAAGCAAGTATTTATGGAATTTTGTTCGAACTCCGCTAATTATTTATTCCATTACGCCATTCTTTATTTTCGAGCTTTCCTTAGCCAATTTAATTGATAAATTAAATGATTTAAAATCTTTGAATAAAAAATATTCCAACTTTTTTTATTCCATGAAGAATATTCAATATTTTTTGATTTTGTGGTTTCAGTATTGATTTCATTACACAAAGCTTCTAAAAGAAAATTTAATACAAAAATTGAAATCAAATTATTTACATAAGTCTCGAATTTGGTCTGAATCATTTAGAAAAACATGAGATTTATTTTACTTCCGAATGAAAGCAATAAAATCATTCCATTTTTACATTTCATAATTGTTGCTTCCGAATGGGACCATTTGTCGAATCCGAAAATGCCAATTTTTTCATCAGGATAACTACTTTTGGCCTCAGAAGTTCGAATATGCAATTTTTAGATCATGTCCGTATGTATGTATGTATGTATGTATGTGTGTGACCGATCGTTTTTCTACGATAATTATGATTTAAAAGATAGTTCCTAATCCCATCTTAACCAAATTCGATCATGAGATTGATTGCATCATCTGTTGTTCAAAACCATTATTTTGAAACCAATATTTTCGGGGCAATGTCGGCTGCCAACATTGAGGCAATGTCAATAAATTGAATACAATAAATCGTTGACATCAATTTAAAATCCATCGTTATAAAAATTCCATGCGAAAGCAAATTATTAATTTATGAGCAAAAATATATTGGCTACGTTGTGACGAAGCAATTGTCCCCTTCTATTTTATTCCACTCTTGACATTCAAGTTCATTAAAATGATCAATCATTCCAACTACCTTTCAATTTTCAACATTCATCACCAAAGCATAATTTTCCATTCCCCTCG